ATGTAATATATCAAACATGAGATGCAGTGTTTCATCACCAGATGAAACACCGAGAAGAGAGTTGAAAATACGACGCGCAGCGGAGTATTTTTGACGAACTTCGAGGTGTTTCATCTGGTGATGAAACACTGTGTCGAATGTTTGATATTTCTTCTCAAACAAAATCATTTTCGAAGGAGGAATTAAGGATGCAAAAATGAGCAGTTTTTCATCTGATATCCAAACACTCATTAAACATTAATTTCCTTTGAATTTTCCTTATGAATTATTAATGAGTTTGAGAAGCCATAATAAAACATTGTCCTAATAAAAATGCCATCTTTGATTTGCCAATCAAGTTGAAGGGAAATTCAAAACGTATTTGCAGTAATTCATTGTGTCTGTTGGGGGCCCAGAAGAAAGATGTTGGCACCACTTTGTAAACGTCACTAACTGGGGTTAGATTATGCATTTCCTACAATTTGTTAAATCCGTTAGGAGTTGAGAACAAGGATATCGGTGCTACTTCCTGGATTTCCTAACTAGGGTTAGATTACACATTTCCTATAATTTGTTAAATCTGTTGGGAGTCCAACAACAAGGATATCAGCGCTGCTTCCTGGACAAACTGGAGTTACATACATCTGTGATGCAGGCTATCCTCCTCTTACCTTGTGTAATCTTGTTGGAGAAGGCATTGGAACTCCTTGTCTCTTCGCCTCATGTCTTAAAGTTAGCAACATGTTTCTTTCCTTCAGCAGTACATACCTGCAAAATAAGTGTGTGATTGAAAGGCATCCTCTCTGAGTAGAAGTGGTAACCCAAAGTTTCTAATGCACTAAGCTCATACATATGTCAACTAGCCTGGATTATCCAGGATTCTTGCAGATACATCACCCGATCTTGGGTCATCAAATCTCACAGATGAAAGCCACTTTTGAGCATTTTTTTGTACTTTATGGTTTGGAAATTTGCCCTTATTTCCCCACTATACTATCCCCTACAGTTCTTGTACGTATTTCACCACTGAAAAAGATTATTTTGTCATTATAACAGAAGCACCTAATCCCTATGTCTCTGATAATAATCAGAAAATCGATATTATAGCAAAATCAATATATCGATCTCGTGGACCTTTTGTAATTGTTCCTCACAGCTACTCTTTGAAAGACTCATAGGTAAACATTTTCTCAGGTTAAACCTTAAACTGTTAAGACTTTTGACTGCTCGTCTTAAGCCTGCACGAAAATTGACAATTATGGTGAAATTGCTTCTTACCAAAGTTTGTGAAGGTCTTCATTACTCTTGCCCCTCAGTTCTCCGGCTCGCCACTTTCTACCTTCAAAGCGCACAACAGGATTATTATATTAACATTTTAGCTATTCGTAAAGCCAAACAAATCAAAAGATAGTTATCATCTTTCGAGTGTTCGTGGGAGACATTGAGGGGATGCTGTAGCCAAGTCAAAGATAACTGCAGCTTGGCAGAAGGTACGTTGCAATCCACTGTTCGACCGGAAGGGGTATTTTGCAGAATGCTGAATGAAGAACGCCAAATTACTCTGAAGTTTAGTGATTAGGGTTAGGACACTGAGTAAATCAGGATCCATTTAGAGTCATAATCATAACTATAACAAAATTGTCAAATCTGATTGGCTATCAACTGCCCTGATTTCAGCCTTAATTGGACAGTTTAATAGGACAGTACGCGTCATGCCTAAGTAATTGGACAGTACGCGCCATCACGCGCGCGCTTAAATGGCATTTTTTTTCACTGCTAGCAAAAAAAATTTCGAATTTCTTGTGTTTTGATTTAAAAATAGCCTATTATATCACAAATTTTGTTAAAGTTATGATTAATTGGTAACAGAACTTCGTGTCGTCCAATTCGGTCTGTAATCATACTCGTGATTAAACAAATCGGACTCCCGCTACGCGGTCGTTCGATTTTGTTAATCACTCGTATGATTACAGACCGAATTGGACTCCACTCAGTCCTGTTACCATTACTAATACCGGGAAAATTGACCTGAAACTTGATTCAGTCAGTCTGCTAACCCTCATCACTAAACTTCAGAGTCATTTGGCGTTTTGCATAAGGAGGGCGGGGAGGGAGGAAGGCAACTACAGTTTCTCCCTGGATATCTTAAATAGAGACAATTACCTGTGTTGACGGATTCTGGAGCCAATTCTCCCTTCTCGATCACTCCCGGAGGGAAAAATTCTTCCAGCCCAAACACTGCATGACTTCTGTGTAGACAACGAACACAACTTGCTCTGCATGTGAGGGAATGAAAACTACATCAAATTAATTCTTCACAGTATGAAAAGCAAGCAGAAATTCTCTTCCTTAATAGGAATTACTTTCCCATACCTGATTAAGGATTCTGTTAAGTTAAATGGACGTAATTTGTAGAAGAACCGAATTCTGTGCAAAGCGACCGCCATATTGCTTTTTGTATTACGCATTCGTTTTTATGCGCAGAAAAAATAACCGCTGGTCGGTCGTGGCTTCCTTCAGCGAGTACCGCTCCCGTGGGTCATTGTGACTTTGATACTTCTATATTTTCTTCTTCTTTTCTCTGGGTGCCGTTCCCTGATATTATTCTGTGTGTCATAAATAAGGTCGATGAAATGAAACCGAAAAGGAAGTGAACTTCTCCGCAATTCTCGGTAATTTTTTTTTCGGTAATATTTTCATCTGTCTGGCCTTCCTCTTCGTATGTTTTTTTCTTACTCATTGATTGGAACATCACGCAAGGCCCCAAAAATATAAATTTAGAGCGGAAGGTATATTGGATGCATTAACAGATTTAATTTGACTTTCTATAAAATGTAAACTGGTATATGATATACAGAAATGTTTTGAGTAGTGCATGGTGTTTTCATATAAACAGCAAAATCCTATACGTACTGCCATAGTACAGTATCAGTCGTGATGTAACATTCCGCTAAACCGGGCTTTCTCGATGCCTAAGTTAGCATATGACTAATGAGATTAAATGCAAACTGATGAAAAAGAGAAGTCTTTGCCTCTTTTCTTAGAAACTCATTTTACTGATTTTAAATCAGTCCAAACGAACTCGCAAAGGCTACGGCGAAGGGATGATTTTTTTGCGGCACTAATTAAATTTGTGCATCCCGTCTTTCATAGCAACACGGAACTTACACAGCTTAAGATTACCACAGAAAACTAATTAACTGATTCGAATTTTTACGCCACTTGTTTATATTTCTAAAACCTGTTTATTTTACACAGTACTGTGTGTTCAGTAAAAGCCGATATAGCTATGATATTCGATTTTTCGCCCGTCTAATTTTCTACCAAGTGATAATGAAAAAATAAAAGCGAAACGTAATATTTCCGAGTCTTATTCCTCGAGGGACTTCATTAAGACCTGACTAAAGTCCATTGAAGAACGACAAAAGATTTTCCCGTGGGCTTTGTGCTAAAAGCTAAATCAAAATTGTTGACAGGTTAAAGCTGTTAGCAGATTAGAAGTCGGAAAACACATACATAATTGAACATATTTTAAGCAACGCTGTTGGTTGAATCCTGTCCTGTATGGTAAAACCTAAGTCATTTGCCAAGAAAAACCTAGTATTTTAATTGGTTTTACTTACCTGAAAATCTCTGATTACTACTTTTGTAGAGGCCCTCCTTTAGTAATTGTAATTGGTATTATGTCCACACAAAAGGCAGTTCTTTACATGTGCATACGGGCTTTCTGTTACGTAAATTAAGAATCACTTCATCTCTCATAAATTATCCACATCCTGTCAGAGAGTTTAAGAGCTTTGTCCATTGTACGAAGTGACACAAGGTGAAATATGACTGATAAAATGTTTACATACTTTTGAAGTGCGGCTGGCATCATGTAAGTTTCTCAGTGCCACAGCCACATCTGATACCATGTAAGCTGGCAGGACAAAAAAGACTCTCAAAGCTTGTTAAAATGGAGTGTGCATGGCGATAACTAATTGTCTGAAATATTTTTCAAGCTTTGCGTGCGATATACATTGCCATGGAGGAGACAAAGAATCAACAAATGACGAAGAAAGTGCGGTTTGACTTAAAAGACGAAATTTTTCTCATTCCAAGCAAGTGGGATCGTCTTAGCAAATGCAAAACTGCCCGCACTAAAGTCATCGATGAGATAACGCCAAATCAGAGGTCTCGCACTGTTGTTGAGCGACGAAGTAAGAAGAAACAGAACGGGTATAGGAAAATACCAAACTTTGATTCAGTGGCCAAAGGAAGGATTGTTTTGGCCTCGGAAACAAATTGTACTGTCTCGGACAATTCTCTGAGAAATACTTCTCCAAGCAAAAGTGGAAGCAGTTTGAAGAAAATTCATTCGCGTCAGAAACTCGAAGGATACGGCAATGCGCCCCATAGTGGAACTTCTACGCCTCCTGTTGAAGCCAAATTAAAATTTTATCATCGGCCTCCGACCGAACTACCGAGACTTGATCTCGGCGTTTTGCCGAAGATTCCTTACACGCCCGACCTCAAAAAAGCGATCGAGAAAGCACTTCAAAGGTCCCGTAGTAAATCTGCAACCGACAGTGAACTAAACAGTGGAGCCTCCGTCATACAGGAAAAGAAACACGATCTTCTAAGAATTATTCCCACTGAAAAAGCTGAAAAAGTTTTGCAAAGAAGACTTTCAGACAGTTCGGTCATCATTGGGGATGAAAAACCGACTGAAGATCATGAGCCAAGTTGTGATGAAGGTATCTCTAAATTTAGCGAGTTATCTTCGATCAATCTGGACGGTTGGAGCCCTTTTAATGCCTGGACGGCAAAAGACAGTACCGTTCGATCAAATCGAACGCCTCCTATAAGACGAGGACGATCTATGTCTTCACTGATTCCTAACAGCATTCTTTATTAGTATGGCACAAAGTTTTGGAAAACGTTTCTCGGAAAAGAAAACATTCGTGTCCCCAACGTGTTTATATGATAACGAAAAAGAAAAGCCGTTGTCTGTATCATTCACGTTCATTATTCAGGACAATCCCAAGGCCTTGCTTCTTCACGACATTGAGTAGCTCACAGCTTTACGTCAAAAAAGATACTTTCAAAAAGTGGTAGTAGATATATATATTTACACCGTAGTTATAGTCATAGAAAGAGCAGAGTCATTATTATTTATTTGTTTATCTTTAGGGGGATAGCCTAGAACACAACGCACCCATTCTGATATAGTATGACTTCTGACGTCAAGTATGACGCAGATCAATAGGCAAATGCTCGGAAAGATGGATGGTTTCTGTGGTTTAAAATCACAGGTGTCTAATTATGGGCCTATCCAAATTATAATCGGTATTTTTTGGAGTAATTTTTGTGATTCTGAGCATTTTTTGGTAAAAGATCAACTTATTATAACTTTGCCCGCCCAAAGTTTAGCAACTATAGGACAAATTTGAACCAAGAACTAGTGCAAGTAACGAACGATACTTCGAATCGAACTTTCAGATTTTGGCAGGAATATTTTCAGCAAATTTTATGCATTTTTAGGAGAAACTTTAATTTGCGCACAGCAAAAGTTCTTAGTCCTACCCATAACGGAATCCATGCATCGATTGCTTCATCTACACCTCAGTGTTTTTTTTATAAGGCATCCACTTTAATAGGCAACCAAACTACAGAGAAGAGACATATTTAGATTTATTTATTATTGTTTAAAATTTAAGCGCTTAATACAGTAGTTTTTTGCTGCTGATACGGTTGTTACCGCAAAGCGGTATGGAAGAAGTTGTCAGTAAATATAGCCTGTTCCAGGCTCTTAAATAGTAGAGCTGTTGCGCAAACATTCCCTCGCAAACATCAGCCCGCACGCCTTTCACTAGTAATCATGAGCGTTGCACATATTATCTTGGAGCCTGGAACATACCAATTAAAAAGTTAAAATGACGTTCTGTTTTTGGAAATAAAAAAAAAATTGATTATAGAAAATATATGACCTATGATTTAGACCCGTGAAAAAATATAAAACATAAATTATTATTTTATGCTCTTTCACTGATCCTGCATTTGATTGTGTGTAAAAATGTTCATTTAAAGTACGTTTTGAAACTGAGTCATTTCAAGCATTAATGATCTACAATCTACGGGTGTAAGAGATAGTGAGAAAAAATGAGAAACGTGAAACTGATAGTAAAAATTTTTAAATTCACAGTGAGTGGTGTGGTGCCCATTATTATCCTTAAAAGAGATATAGTCCGCGCAAATCTTAGTGAGTCGACACTGGTGACCAGCGGAGCCCGCGTTGCGGTCAGTGACTGGTTGCTATGACAAAGTTGACTCACTGAACAAAAAGACTCTAGTAACACTAGAAGATTCTGTGACGTAGATGAATGTTCTTGGCGTAATTCTGTAATCATAATGTGACGCTGTGTACTACCATCGTGTTGCTTGTGTATGCTTCTAAACAGATATATCTTCTGTTCCGCGCCAATCAGTCTCTCTTTCACCATACTCAGCAGTCTTCTGTCAAGAGATGGCCTCTTCTGTTTATCTGTTAATCTCCAATAAGGCCATTTTCTTGTAGGTTCCCAGTCTGAGGAGAAAAACCCTCATCTGTCAAGACCAACCTCTATACCGCGACACCTTTGTAATGCTTACAGAAGAAAAGGCGTTTAACCTTTTTTTAGGCGCGCGCGAAGGCGAGCGCTGATGTAGGCTGTAATCGTTGTCCTTTTAGTGCCATTAATGGTAGAATCAATATATATGGCCGGCGAGCACTGTATTTTAGCAGGAAGGAGATATCAATAGCCTATTCAGAGGTCCACTTTGACTGTGTAATAACCCAGTTCCTCACCTCCCCCTCGTTGTAAAATGGCCGGCGAGCACTGTAGTGTAACAAGAAGGAGATATCAAAGAGATCCCTTAACTGTGTACTACCCCCCAGCCCCTCACGTTATAAAAAGTTAACTACGCATTGATATGGTACTGGAGTAGATGCCGCCGTTCAAGCGTAAAGTGTAGTTTGCGCGTGCCTAATAACGATGCTGGGGGGTGGAAGGCGGACGTGCGCCAGCAGGGCGGAACGAGTATTGAATGGTTTAATGGTGACTCATAGGTCGGCAATATAAATATTCTTTAATTTACTCGATGTTAAGTAAAGAGATTCAGTGACATCTCGCGTCTGGCTGTTAAGCTGTCGCATAACCTAGTGTGTTGGTTTCATTTCTCCTCGTGCCGTAAGGTTTCCTATGGTTTAAATTAAATTTGAGCGAAGGAAAAAGAATGCATATTTTGAACCTTTTTGCTTGTAAAAGGTTAAGACTTGTTAAGAAGAAAATTTAAGGCGATAACTGTTTTTTGCTTTACTACAAATGATCTTCACTGGACTTGCGCTTTTATAAGTAGGTAAAAATATCTTGTACGCAGCAGCGTTATTAAGGCTTTTGCGATTACAGAAGTAAGAGTATTTCGTTAATATTTCTTAAAGTTTTCAGCTAGTGACTCAGTGAACGTGACGCTCGGAATTAAGATTTGGCTTGTGATTGTTCAGCGAGCTTAGTAAATCTCAAAGGAACCCAGTGTTTATTTTGACAAGTTTGTTTTAGTACGCGATAATTACAAACTACCAAAAGAAAGCTTTGTTTTTCAAAAAAAAGGGCCACAATTAATTACGAAGAATTTAGTTGAGGTTGATTGACTTCAAATGAGCCCCAGAAGAGTTGACGCGATTTTTAAGTCATGACTTTCGAAGTGAAGTCCAGGTAATTTTGAGACGATGGTTTCTGCAGTCACCGTAACTTGGAGAAGTCAAGATGGTGATGTAGTCAAGCAATGACTCAAAAGTGTTTCTGGGTACTGGCGAGGTGCAAAGGAAAGCCGATTTATTTCTAACGTTCTTTGTTTAGGAGAAAAATATCCGCGCTGTTAAGAGGCGTAATTGCAACCTTCCTTTTAATTATAACTGGGAAAAAAGATGTGCTCCAAAAGTATTTTGTTGAGTACAAAATTTCGCTTTCATTCAACCTTTCCCATGTTAATGGCAACCGTATTGACCGGTTGAGAAAAAAGCTAAGTATTTCCCTCTGCATAGCGAGTTATTCAGTGACTATTAGTTCATTGTGTAACAGATGAGAGACAAAACCACTTGACGCTTCACCTGCTTTGGTGGGAAGTACTTGCGCAAGTAACACATTAACAGTAAATTCATGGCAATTATACGAAAAGATATCGGGATGTCACGTCTACGTATGTATATACTTGTAGTCATAACTCTCGGGAGCCTTAACTTTCAAGACGCAAAGTTGTGGCGAAGAAAAATGGAAAGGAAACAGTGTAAAGACAAGAGTTACGTCTAGACTTTACGAGAGGAACGTGCTTTTGAACAAGAGATTTGTATCTTCGGAAGAGGGTATATAAAATCTTTTACTCTTCTAGATCAATTCATACGAGCCCGCTGCTTTAAGACGCAGAAAGGGATCATTTGACTGAAACAGAGTGAAAGCTGGCGCGATTGGCTTCTGAACCAGAAAGTTTCAGTCCTTTAACAGGATAAAATCATCTTTAGTCTATATAATCATCTTAATTCCATTCCTTCTTTAAAAATCTTTGTCCAGTGCAACCAGCATTTTGAAGAACAGTAAAGAGCAAATCTACTTACTACCTTTTTCGGATTTGCCAGGACGCGACACATGAACAAGATCAACCGGTGTACATTGTCAAGGTTTGCAGGCTGAAAGCAGAGAAGTTTAAAGGTGAAAACTCCAGCAAATTAAATCAACTGATGCCAGACAAAACTTGGTTATAGAAACTGCCGTAAGGAGGGCTTAAAGTTCGTCAAGTCATGGGAGAAATCAAGGAAGATTGCGATGAGATTTTGACAGACAGCAATCAGTCTTCTTTGAGAACAGTCTTAGTAACCTTCCGCATTGAAAAACCCTCGGCAAAACATATAAAACGAGTTCGCTTTAACAGCTTGGTTGAGGTGAAATTTATTCCCAGGCGCCGGAAGAGAGAAAAAAGGAAATACGAGATTGATTTAAAAGAAGGGGAAAAAACAAGTAACGAGGATATCGTCATTAAGAGTACTAATACGTCAGAAAAATCTGAACATGAAGAAAACGATGCGGGTGTTAAGGATGCAGTGAGCGTTTCTGGGCATAATGTCACCATGATAGCAGATGAGGCAGCTTCCCTCAATAGCCAAAAAGCAGCGGATCTAGGGATCGACGAAAGATGTCAAGAAAATAAAGACAACATTGACGACACATTAAACAAGTCGCCTGAATCATTTTTGGAAAGAGGTTCAATCATGACTAGAAACAATCAAAAGGAGGGCGTGGATGAGTGTAGCAGTACAGAAACCACGGCGCTCGCTGGAAAGCCAACCAAATCGAAAGTCGCTGCTCGCAAGAGCTACATTACAAGTACGATTATGCTTGGGGCAGATTACGTAGGCAATGCTCTTCGCTTGAATCCAACAACATTCCCCGTGTCACCAGCAATCCAGTTTAGTGAATTTCCTGTTAGAAATTCTAAGAATCAAAACTTCCCCGAGCTCGCCCCCAGAGCCGTTTGGCGTCTGGAAAAACAGGCCGCAAAATTTTGCAAGGAAGCTGAAGCGCTTATCACTCAAGTAACAGAAAAAAACGCGCGCATTCAGTCGAAACTAAAAGAACAGCCAGACACAGTTATTTTCGGAAGGGACTACAAACGGACCTTTCTAAATGAATTCACTAGAAAGTCAAATGCTACATCGCATGGAAAAACTCTTGCTCAAAATGCGTTTTACAGTGGTAAACATACCAAGGGTTCAGATCCAAGTAGTAAAAAAGTCACGAGGTTTCCATATATCAAGAACAAGAAGCAACCGAACGTCGCGAACTTACCTAGGGCTTCGTCCGAACTTTCCCTACCTCAGCTCCTGATGCATGATGGGAATGGTGCCCATCATCCTGAAACTCTCGCAAAGCCTGATGGGAAAAGTCGCATGCACAATCATTTTAACGGACTAAAAAAAGAAAAGAGTCAGAATGAAAATTATTATTATAATATCAGTTACACTTATGGACGCACGAGGCTGGGAATAAAACCAAAAAGTACAGCAGACTGACAACTGTATGAGAAAACGAAATGAATTTTGAGTGACGTTAAGTAAGCTATATTACTCATGGGATATCAGTCGCTTACTTGGGATATCAGTCGCCCACGACGTTTTACCATTTATCGGCAGACGTAAGACCAAGAACGCAAAAATCCCAACAGCTCATTGAAAGTGCCAAAAAAATGTATGAGAATGCCTCCTTGCCCGTTACCGCACTATCTCTGTGTAGAACTGGTCGTTCTGATCTTTAACAATTTTCTCGTATAATTAAGTGTCACCTGCCTTCCTCAGCGAGTCAAATATCAGAAGTATATTCATACATGTGACGCAGAAACATGAGTCGACGATGAATTTTTAAATGGAACGAACGAAGGAAAGAACAAATGAAAGGAACCAAAGTTAGATTCCTTGCAATGTTGCCCCGAGAGTTTTATGGTTGACTTGCCCAAACTCACAGAGAACTTACAGTACTTGAGTGACAGCTTGATGTTTACCTCTCATGCCCAGAGCCAGACTCTTTAAGAGGGATTAGCTTCAGCGGTCAGTTTCCTTTGTATTTTTTCGACGAGCAATATTGAATAGAAAAGAGTGTGTTATATTTTATTAAACTGAGTAAAGGCTTACACATTTATTGTACTGTTGTTGTTTTTAAAAGTTTGAATCTACCTGCTCACGGTTGTGGCTTATAGAAGTATGTGCAATGAATTTACTGCTTAACCCTTTTACTGCCAAATGTGACCAAAGGCAAATTTCGACCAAATTTCCAAATTTCATTTTCTAAAATTTTGAGAAACAAATAGCATCATGTGTAAGTACAGGCAGAGAGCTTTCATTTGAATGGTCACATCATAAGATTGCGTCCACAGACTCAAAAGTTAGAGTCACCTTACAAAACTTTATCAGACACTCTGGCAGTGAAAGAGTTAAATTCTTGAAACGATGACAATCAATTAAATGAATCTATCTGGGAGATTTTCATTCTACAACCCAAAACGTAGTAATGATTTTATATATTTCAATATAGAGATAGACGATTCAGTGAGCAAATCAGACTCAACGCAATAAAATATTAGATAACAAATGAGGAAACAACGTATTAGGGTGGCCTCTGATTTATTTTAGTACTTGAATCCTCAATACTCCTATTTTTAAGTAGGCACTTTTTCTATTACAGAGTATTTCACAATATTTGGAACTTAAATTTTGGGCTCCTGAAAGTGTAATTGCTAATTTTAAGTAGCTTTTGCATTGTTTTCATGCCAGACTCTGCGAGCTTCTGCGTATGCTCTGATTCATCAACATGAAAAATAATCACCCTTGAGACGTAACCCTTCATAACAAGAGTAATGACTGTCAATAACCGATATATAATTTGCTAAAATTAGAGGTCAAATTGATACACAGTATTACTGCCTCAATCTAAAGCAAAGAAGTATCAACCTCATTTTGAGAGAATTTTGGCAGCGGAAATTTTACTTGGATTTTTAACATGATATAAATGCGCCATTTGTTTTGAGAGTTTGCGTGCGAGGAGTGTTGGCGTTGCCTTAATATTTTTTTGAAATGATACTCTAATCATTGCAGACGTTAATTACTGACTTGCACTTTTATTGAAATTGGCGCATGTGAATGAATTGTTTATTTTAAGAGTTAAGAAGCACGATGTGTATTTTGTTAATTTTTATTGGCTTTTACATCCTTTAGCTGAGTTGTGAGTTATTTGGACATTTCAAGGCGTTTTTGAAAACGAACATGACTTGTAGATTGGACAAAATTTGCTTTACACCCTGTTTGCATGGTTGCTTAGCTGTTTAAATTTAAAAAATTAAAAATGATAATTGATTTTAAACACTGTGTGTATGTACGGACGTTTATATAGGTTAGCTGTTTTACCCCCACGCAAGAAATTTCGATAAAAGTAAAGGGCATCTAAATTTCACGGAAACTTCAGTATAGAAAATGACCAGGTCAAACCTTCATTACACCTATAAGGAGTGACACAACCATGAAACCTTTATCGTTCTAGAGTTTTGGGGGACAGTTTCATTGTCAACAGTACAATTTATTCTTTGTGGAAGTAAGTACTATTAGAGACGCCATCTTGAGGTTTAGTACTTTAAAACGACCTACCGCTAAGGACCCTACTAATAGTCACTTCAGATGCACAAAGCACGCGTGGCGGGCATTAATTTCTCTTTCACTTTATCAAGAGAAAGCTAGATTTCCGTATGACACGGAAATTTACTGTTTACAAGACAACAGCAGTTCTTAATACAGGTCAATATAGGCCCTAAAACCATTGGATTTAAACCTTCGCAGTCTCGCCGTCTTCTATTATTTTAGTTATAGTTTACACCCATTTGTTAGATGGTACAAACGGAAATGATCAAGCGGAATCAAAATGCAGGCCTCATCAAAACGACTTGCGGTTTGCCAGACTCCTTGAAGTGTAACTCTGTTTGTACTGTCATGAAATGCAAATGAAGATGGTTCTTCAAATAAATTGTGAATAAAAAGTGAACAATTAACATGTCGTCAACCATCAGAGCTCGATGCACACAGTAAAAAGCTAGATATTTCCACTGAAGCAAAGAATACGCTCCATTCATGTTCGGAGCTTTACAATGGTTGCGCGAGTTTTCTTTATCTTCGTCAATTGCTCATCCGACCTCTACTTTCAAATATCTCTTCCTTTTTGTTGAAAATCATTACTTGAATATCATCCAGTTGAATAATTTGTTCAACATATCCTCTTTGCCTACATTAGAAGAGAGCTATAAATAGGCGTGAGCTGTCTAACTGTAATTTCATGAATGTTTGGACTTGGTTTGGGTGACAATATCATTCAACTGAACGTGTGCGATATTGCAGCAAATGATGTGTCATAAATGATCGATTTTCCTTACTGTTATATAGCAGGACCTACAATGGTAATTTGAGGCAGTTTTGTATCTGTTGTATCGTTGCTATTAATTGTTCTAAAGCAGTGGGTGGTCAACTACTATCATACACGGAGGTTCTTCCCTGAACTGTAAGTACCGTAATTCTTAGTTTTAAATACAGAGCACGCCGCTGACAAAAAAGAATCGAGCCGACCTTATGTATGATAAGACTTCAAGTTTCATGCGTGAATGACTAAAACTTACAATTCGAAAAAATATTTCATTTCACAGTTGTTTTATCCGCACAAGAAAACAGAACAGCACGAACGAGTGAAGTTAACTTAACTCCACTTCTGTGTTGTTCAGTTTTTATAATGAAACTGGAGTTATTTAAGAGGAATTATTAACTGGCTCAAAGAACGCTGTGGCTTACCGATAATATCAAACAACGCTTCAAGCAACGGCGTAACACATTGAAGTCCTTTCGTACGTAGCCGCCGGCGTTGTCATTTTGTTCCTCAGTTTCGGGTAATGGTATATAAATGACTATAGCTAGACATAACCAGAATAAATCTCTGGAACTACTTACTGAAAATCAGTTCATTAATTCTATGTAATAAAGTAAGAACATGAGCAATAACGAACAAAATATAAGATGCCGGGCGATTTGGTAGGTTATATAGTTATACCGGTAACTCCAAGCCATAGCGAATTAAAACTAATTCAAGAAAAATTATTGTTAGTGCCTTGTAAAATACTAAAACTCGGCATATAGTATCATACGAAAGCAAAGTTGTGACAGTCGCATCGCAGGAGTTTCGTCCATGATTCAAAATTTAGAACTGATATGTCCTCATAACCACTAAGCTGTTGGCCGAAAAAGGGTGATTAAAACCACTTTTGATACTTAATGACACCGGACATGTGCGCTCTGACAGAAAGCTTAACTCGTTTCTAACCCTGCGTCTCTTAATAATTATCTTAAACTACTTTCGAGTTGTGCTTTTTTTGTCATACACGTTTCTTGGTCGACAATAGTTCGTAACCTGTTAATTTAAACTAATAGTCAGACAGTTTCACGGTTTTTTTCAACTTTTGACAGAGGCAAGTTGGCAAAAATCTGTCAACATGACTACAAAGAATTAGTAAACATGCCTAGTTTGAACGTGATTTGTGCAAAACTAACGCTAACTCCGCAAGTCACCAAATTTTACAGACGTTAGTGTGAACGTGCCCCCACCATGTAAAATTTCGCGACTTTCTCATTGGAGCAATATCTTCGCTCCGCTCGCCGTTTAACATATCACCTTTAAACTTTGTAAGTTTCCTGATTTCAAGCCGCTCTTTCCAGCAATTTCAACAGATATCCGACTAACTGGTCTTTATAAATACCTTGAAAAAAAAAACCCCGTAGACTCACGGCAAAACAGTCGGTTTTTTGCTCAAAATCGGTTCTACGCAGCGTAAGAATAGCCTAAGAGTCTCACGTGCGCGAAGCACTCAAGTCTCACAAAACCTCGGTCCAGACCTTTTGTTTGACCGCGGTTCGAGCGTACTTAAATACGCAAAAATACGGACTTTTTTGCCGTCTAAAAAAAGCCGTGGAAGAATATATTTCCTATTATTAAATTCGGAATCATTGGATAATGCAATTCTAGAGCTCTGATTGGCTTAGCCATCATGGTATTTAAGCCATTATACCATGCTCTCCAAATATGGTAACTGTAGGCGTCCGCTTAAAATTAAAAACAAGCTAAAAATCGGTTGTTTTTTTATAAATAAAGTCGGGAAGAATTCTCGATATTTTGTGGGCGTTTTTAATAAAATAATTATTCCACTCGCGCTTGTTGGATATGAAATGATTATAGCCAACTCGGCGGCTACTACCATCTCATATAAAACGCGCACTCCATGGAGTAATTGTTAATTGTTCTAACTAATTTTAATTATAGTTTCGGGCACGTGTATCATTTAGCGATCGGATAGCGATCACATTTACTCAAAGGTTCGCAGGTAGCACATGCATCGGGCGGGTGTATGATCATCTGTTCTACAGCAATGGCAAATGTGAAAACATGTTCTGCTGCACGTGGGTACCCGGTTTTCTCCACTTGTTTGACAAAATGCATCACACAAGAAAACCTGCTAAATGATCAAAAAAATGAAACGCTTTGATGAAAAACAAGGGCACGTGTTCATAATTGTTTCAACAAAAGACGGTTTTTTTAAAGAAATCAAAGCAGGTTTAGATTAAGTTTAATATACCTTTTTGAGGTTCATTCTAACCCGGTCGGTAGTATAAGGTAATCTTTTCAATGATACTTCGGGGCTGACTTTCCAATAGCCAATTTTAATACGTAATGCCTCTAGGGTCAGTATTAATTGACGAGGCCTTGTTCTGGCCAATTTCCAGTAATTCGAACGTTGGCCGGGCTCGATATCGCTCGTGTTTGAATGCAAGAGGGAACGATTTTCAGACGTAATCATCCCTCTCTTGTAAATCTCTTGTGTTGAGACGAAGTAGTACTGATCAGAGCTCTTTTAGAGTGTTGGGTGTCTAAAAAAACTCGTGGACATACCAGGAGAATTGAGCAAAAATGATCGCACCCGAAATCACCGTTCTTCCGATCTTCGGAGTAATCAGAAGCCCTAGTGTGAAAAAAGTGAGAAAAAATAAAGAAAAAAAATAAAAAAAGGACACATTGGAAACCTATCTGATATGACGGGAGCCAATATACTGTGACACTCCACTTTCAAGATTGGCGCGGCGCACTTTCGAATATTCGCTCGCTCCGTGGTTACCGTAAACCGCGCCGAAATCACCGCTCTCATATGCGAAAACTGAGCCTTTACGTCATTTCCGGTGTGCTCAAGTGGATTTGGGATACTGTATAGGATATTTGTAAAGGCGCCGCTGCTCCAGTATACTCTTCTATGCTTTTAGCATGTGTAAACTACTTTTTTTTTATACGATGTGTTTATTTTTAAAAATCAATATTGGTTTGAGGAGTGTGGGAAAGATAGCATTCACGGCTCTCACCGCTACTGAAGGCCTCTTGCTATAATCTGGTTTCATCAAACTTCTCTAACAATTTGACAAAAGAAAAACAATGCCTTCTGACATAAAATTAAAAGCTAATGGAAAATGAAAAATTCAGCCCGCCGGAAATTAACTGGTAAACAACAACTTCATGCAGACGCAAATGAGCTTTTTGATTTTTGAGACACTGGTCAGGCTTGATTAAATACTGAAAAGAAATGAAAATGGAAAGAACAACAAACCTTGGAATAAACTTTCTTCAAAACACTAAATAACAGATGACGTAAAACTTCCAAAAGGACAACAAACGACAGGTTTTGTAATAATCTTGTTTACACTAGTGCAATTTTGTCATCTAACTACTTATACCTGCTACACAAGGAGGATTGAAACGCCTTCAGAAGAACAAAAAAAAAGTCTAAGCTACTGAGTACATGAACCAGATTTTAAAAATTTAGGGAGGAAAGAAAGAGAGGAAATAGTTTTCAATTCATACATTCAATATATTGGGGGAACTTACAATAAAAAGGACGTATGGATTATTGGCTGTAGACTAAATAGCTTTGTGATCTGCTCCTATTATCAGCCATGATTTCATGATCTTCAATTTTCAATTTGATTTTTAGTCATCTTGGAAAAATCTCTTTTCGTATTTCCAACCTGTCCTAACAGATTCTAGGCCCATTTGACCCCCATTCCTAAACCATTCAGAATTTCTCTTAAATTTCACGCTTTAAAATGACAAAAGAAATTGACCCTCAGGCTACTTGGAGGTGTTGATGAGACACGCCACCCGTTGTTTTCAGTAAGCCATTATACAAACAAACCCTAAAAGAGTCCCGCGACTAAGCCTTCGACCAATCACAGCGCGAGATACGTGGCTTTTGGATATATCCTTTACAATCGCCTAGGCTTCCGGGCTTTGAATGTAAATTGTATAGTTTCACTCCCGCGGGGCTTTTCGATACAGTTGAGTTGTTGCCGTGGTAAAAATGCCGCAGTAGAAGAATACATCATTTTAGCTGATTGAAATAGCGTAGATGCGCAACATTTTTGGCTTGATCTCGCGTGGTAAGTTTATGTTCGAATCGTGCTTTAGTTAGCCGGTGACAACAGCCGAGAAGGTCACTGCCATAGATCTTTTGCGTCACAAGTTCTCGAAAGCGTCCTGCTTATTAATCATTTTCTAGAATTATTCCCTGTTAATTGATTTCTCCTTCGGTTTTACCCCTCTTTGTTCCTATTTGAAAGGAAAACAAACTCTCGCATACTACGAAATAATTCTGTTTTAGAAAGCGAAATTATCTGGTGGTTAATCAATATGTGTGTTCACTGTTGCAGTGTTTGAGTGAATGGTAACAGTCGCAACGGGAAGCAGCTTCTAATGCAGCCTTCAACATGAGTGCAGTCTTTCACCAAGCAGTATTTGAAGGCGATACAACCAAGGTCAAGTTTATTTTAAAGTATGGCCAAGGAATACGAGTGAATCAGCCGAATAAATATGGCTTAACCGCTCTACAACAAGCTTGTATTGATGGCAACTTGAGCCTGGCTAACTTTCTCCTCGAGCGTGGTGCGGACCTGAAAACTGTGGATTCAAATGGCCGCTCTGCGCTTCACCTCGCCGCTGAGCGAGGACATTTGGACGTTGTGAGCTTGCTAGTGAATTCAGCCTGTGCTGATGTTAACGCTAGAAATAGCAATGGCGAAAAACCGGTGGATGTTGCCAAGAACGAGCAAATTCGAGCTTTGCTATCGCAAGCGATGCTCTCAGAGAATTTCAAACAGAAATGCTCTCTTGCTCAAGGTTGTGAGGATAGCTGTGGGTTTAAAAATGTTCCTGGCTGGCGTTATTCGATTTCGAGTACATCCACAGATTCTGGAGTATCTGAAGACTCTAGTTATAGCCATGACAGTGGTTTTGAATCGAGATATCCCAGTCGATACTTCAAAACCTCAAGCTTTAATGAAGAACGAGCGGAGCAAATCTCTGATTACTACATTACCGATTGTAACCGCGACCAGACACCCGACCAAGGGGAACTAATTTACACTCGACGAGTGGAGCCGGTTGTTTCACACAGTACATTAACCAAAAGTCACTCTTTCACGGGAACGCGACACGAATACAGTGCGAAATTAGAGAACCGGCCGGAATGGGGGGAAAACTCGGCCTTTGGGTCCCCAGATCGGTATCAACGGAGGCAACCGAGAAATCGCCGAGATCCTGCAAGGCGTAAGACCGTAACCTTTGGTGAAAATGCATCGTATTTTATTTCTGCTCGCGAAGAACAACAATATCCGCGAAGTCATTCACTAAGTATACCATCATCAAGCGGCAATAGATACCCTTCATCTGAAACTTGGGTTACCTCGGCTACACCGCATCAACCAAACTCCTCGCGGAGGCTTTCAGAAGAGCGCCAACCTACTACAGCGTCTAGTGACAAAGAGAAAATCGGCAACGCGGAGAAACGTGAAAATATCCCTCGAAAAGAGAGGAAATTGAAAAAGCACATTCTACCAAGTTTCTTAGAAAAATACGTACATTAAGTAAGGTTCGTTAAAAAATTGGGGTATTACCAACATTTAAATTATGCATACAGCGTCGATTTAGTTGAAAATTTACATTGCCTTCACTTTGTCGCCCAGAAAACCATTCAAGTGTATAAAACACTCGACATGTTTAACTCAAGATGTTGATATATATATTTTGAATTTATCGTGGATATATTGCAAATATTGTAATAGTTTCCTCCCTGTGATTGCCTTAAATCTTTGTAAAAAGTTTTGTTATTATAAATTTCATATTTGGAATTTTAAATAATACATGTATTCTAAACTGACTATCTATTTATATAGGATGATGTAAACTATTGTATATTCACCTGCGAGAACACGTTTCTGGTTGCAAAATTGTTTTGGGATTTTTCAGTTTAAAAATAATTCATGTTCATTGGTGAGTCATAAAATAATAATACTTAGTTTTTTGTTTTGGGAATATTACATCTATTTATAACAGTCATGATTTTTGTAGCAAAAGAATCAACCTTTTCTGGCTTGCTGTATATTTTTATTTGGTGTATAAAACGAAAGAAGATAAAACATATTGATTCGTTTCCTATGCAAAACAGTTTAAAATATGTTTTCGAAGAGATAGTTAAGGAGGGGTTTTTTCCCTTTAATCTCCCTGTACGCAAATCAATATTCATGTATATTTTAAAAAATAATAAATCAATTTTCTTTGAATTTTGCCTGTCTCTTTTGTGAAATTTTAAACGACATGTGAATCGTGAACGGTAGGACAAGAAAGTTGCCTTAATTTTTTGGGGTATCAAAGTCTGAATTAATCCAACTTGAGCAGGATCCCATGTCAAACATATGCACCCAAAATTACTGACCCTTGTCGAAATGTCAAGAAAAGTTTGCCTTGGAAATGAAATTTGCTTTAGTTTGTTTTCATCTCTTTTCAGCAAATTGTTTTGAAGGCCGCTCATGTTTGAATAGTTAATGTTTGCCTAGGTTTTCACCGCGCTAATATTGCTCCGTATTTAAAACTGGACGAAATATAATTATATTTCGCATCTTTTCTTCTTTTTCTCTCGCGATATGTGGTTTACTATCAATATTACACCTAATATTGGGAACTTAACACAAATGCACCATACCGAAGTAGGCAGTATTAACTTTCTTTTCGTTCTTTATTGTATTTATTTGGTATTCGAGGTGCAATTTTTCAATTCAGTAAAATGTTATTGTAGAGTTACGCTGTTTCTTCCGCTCTTAAGATCGACTCCTTGTGTGTAAATCTATTTTACTTCAATCCAAACTTTTAGCAACTATAAAAAATAACAATTAATCGGAAAAATACCACCTGGGACCACAGCTTGCACTACGTCCACCCAACAATTTTACCATAAAAGCTGCAAGAACCGCACAAAATCAATCGAAACGCGACATAATTTGCTAAACTTACTTTGAGTCAGATTTTCACATTGTCACCACTCGCACGTATGGTCGATTGGCTTAATTTTCTCACGAGGCTAATTTTGTTTTTTCCTTTTGATTCCCGCTTAATAATTTGCAAAACAAAAGCTCCTATTTCTGTTAATCCGTAAACTAAATATTCCTTTCCGTCCTTTAATAAACCGACAGAAGATAAAATGGGTAAACACAAATCTGCGGGTGACCACTGAAATGAAATCTTTGAGGCTCATTAGCCGGTTGCGCTCATCCGTAACAAAACAGCACCAGGAGTCCGATAGTACAGACTCTACGCTGCGAGCTACTGCTGAAAAAACGTGAGTCAGTCAATGTGGCCCCAAACTACACTGGCCTTGTGTATACAGAAAGCGTTTCTGCGTTCGGTAAATAGGTAACCTCGATCCCAGGGCTTTTTCCCTTAGAAGATGGGAAGTGTAGGAAAAAGCCCTGGAGAGAGGTCAGTACTGACTAGGAGTCCACGGTATCCTTGACAAAGTCTTCAGCCAGTGCTGGTCTTCACTCTTTCTCAGATTGGCTAAAAAAGCGGCTCCTCATTCATTGACCGACTAGATNTATTCGAGGTGCAATTTTTCAATTCAGTAAAATGTTATTGTAGAGTTACGCTGTTTCTTCCGCTCTTAAGATCGACTCCTTGTGTGTAAATCTATTTTACTTCAATCCAAACTTTTAGCAACTATAAAAAATAACAATTAATCGGAAAAATACCACCTGGGACCACAGCTTGCACTACGTCCACCCAACAATTTTACCATAAAAGCTGCAAGAACCGCACAAAATCAATCGAAACGCGACATAATTTGCTAAACTTACTTTGAGTCAGATTTTCACATTGTCACCACTCGCACGTATGGTCGATTGGCTTAATTTTCTCACGAGGCTAATTTTGTTTTTTCCTTTTGATTCCCGCTTAATAATTTGCAAAACAAAAGCTCCTATTTCTGTTAATCCGTAAACTAAATATTCCTTTCCGTCCTTTAATAAACCGACAGAAGATAAAATGGGTAAACACAAATCTGCGGGTGACCACTGAAATGAAATCTTTGAGGCTCATTAGCCGGTTGCGCTCATCCGTAACAAAACAGCACCAGGAGTCCGATAGTACAGACTCTACGCTGCGAGCTACTGCTGAAAAAACGTGAGTCAGTCAATGTGGCCCCAAACTACACTGGCCTTGTGTATACAGAAAGCGTTTCTGCGTTCGGTAAATAGGTAACCTCGATCCCAGGGCTTTTTCCCTTAGAAGATGGGAAGTGTAGGAAAAAGCCCTGGAGAGAGGTCAGTACTGACTAGGAGTCCACGGTATCCTTGACAAAGTCTTCAGCCAGTGCTGGTCTTCACTCTTTCTCAGATTGGCTAAAAAAGCGGCTCCTCATTCATTGACCGACTAGATGACTGCGAGAGTTGTCTTTTTATACTGAGGTCGCATATGAACAGCTGTCGGGAGCCGATGCAGTTGTAGTTTATTGCATCTTCAACCTGCTGCTACAATTCGGTTCAATCGTCAATCAAATAAACCTTAAAACAAAATCAAAATCCAGCAAAGCTCCGGGAAACTGAGTACGCACTGCACAAACTCTGCGCTTATCTGCTGGGTACAGACCAGTACCCAAAGTAAGAGGGCATAGAAACATAATGGATTCACATGCCCATATAAGGTGCTTTCCTCTCCCTCCTACAAAACAGCCAGTAACAGATAGACGTGACAGGGGTGGTGGTAGCTGTCAGAGATTGTTACCTGCTATCAGGAGCAGGCTCCTGCTGCTACTGAGCTTTCTTAGCCGCCGACAAGGACCTGTGGTCTTTCACCCTTACTGAGAAAATGGGGAGGAGTGGGGGAAGTTTCTGCTTTGCGGGTAAATTTTTTATTAAAATTTTTTCATGAATTGAGTTTTTTAATAGTTTGTTTCTAAGAAGTAATGACTGAGTGCTTAAGGTGGCTGAACACAGTTTTGCGGGCGGTCAGCGGTAACTTGCGCGACGGCGCGCGTTTTAAATTAGACCGAAAAACATGGCGGCGAAAAAGCAATGGAACAGAAGCCGATTTCTCAAAATCTACTCATTAGAATTTTGAGATATTTGGCAGAATTTTTCCTTTCATCGTATTTTAAGTAATGAGGACTTTAAAATGGAAGTTGAACAAACGCATTTTGTGACACATTTAATAATTACAGTACAATTATTAAATTATTGATTATCTAAAAACCCGTCTGTTAAAATTTGGTCAAATAAGTTTCAAATGGTAATGATTAATTATAGTAAGCTGTGTGCAAGTTTATAGAAAAATCTAATGAGCGAATTTTATGTAAACTGAGAAAGAGTGATTTTTTAAGGTTGTAGTCAATCGTTCATGTTGCCATGGAAACTACGAAAACGTCAATTTTTACCTGTTAATCAAAATCTTTCATCAGTACATTATTTACTTGCCAAGTTTCAGCTTGTGAGCAGCAACCTGTCTCTTGCCATGATTTGGCAAAAGACACATAATCACAAACTGCCAAAACTGTGTTCAGCCACCTTAAAAATAGTTATTATGACCCCTGAGGGGTCGCCAATTTACTTATTAATAGAATCTGTGATCGCCAGATTTTAAACTTGCTGACCCATTGCCACTAAGCTCAACTAAATGTTCTAATGATCATTTCATTATTTATTTATCAATGCAACATTTATCTGTTGAATTTTGTGGTTAAAGCAAGGACGTCGCTATACAATGCCTAAAATTTTAGGCTATTAAGATTTCTTCTCAAATAGTAAGCTAGTGCTTTCCAGGATGCAAAGGAAAAAAGAAAATACAATTATCAACAGGTTGATACTGTAAAGCGCACTATCACTATTTTATAAAGGTAAAAAGATTAACTATATATTGTACTCAGGCCACCCTTGATCACATATTTTATTTATGCCATCATGATAACCGCAAGTAAATGGGTTTGTATCGCTATGGGTTACTTGTTCCAAGATATACTTAAGTATAAGAATGACACAGACAAACACTGGAGGAGGAGAATTTATAGAACTTGGAACAAGTTTAATACATCCAAAAGTTGAAATATTCTTTGTATAGTGAAATTAGCCACGGATGCTGATATTCAAAGATTTTTACTTCCGGTCTTTATAAAATTGTTCATATACAAAAAGTATTTATGAGGGAGCGATGTCCACGGCTCGCGAAGCTTACTCGGAGGACGACAATTTTTTAATCGGCGATGATTTCATTACAAATCGCTTCCGTCGAGAAGCAAGACAGCTCCATCTCAGCGAATTTCCTAGAACCCGTCGCGAAGCCCATTTTGCAAGATACAGAAATTCGTTTTTGAAATGCGACTTAGACCAAACAAATAGTCGTATTGAACAGGGAAGAAAGCTGAGGCTAGCCGAATTGGAACGTGCTCGTGCCGCTGTTTTGAAAGAAGATGAAAAGAGACGAGGAAATCGACGTGATATACCGATGTCTTCTCTAAAGAGTGCTAATGGGAGTGGGAAGATGTCGAAGGTAGATACAAGGAGTAAAGGAAGTTTGAGTGGAAGACGCGTTACTAAGGAGTTTCAACAAGACAGTCGCCCAAACATTTCTGTTAGAAGTTCGTCGCGAGCGTCATTTGCTTCTGAGTCGGTGGAAAAATTCGAGAATTCCTATAATGATAGAAAGAGCACAGGAAATCAGGACTCAAGACTTAACAAGTCAGTAGAAAATGGAGAAAATCCCATAGGGGATGAAAGTTCCAGCGCAAATCGGAGTCAACAGAAAAAGCAACTCAGCGATATACGCTTAACTTCGTCTCAAACATCGTCAAAGGTTAGAAAGGACCATTTGGCGGGAAAAGATGGTGGTAGCTTTACCATGGATGCAATATCGAGGTTGTCATGGACGCCGTCCATGGTGGGAAAAAGATGGTCCGTTGGAAACTCCCTGCCAACAACGCTGAAGACCCACGGCGTGAGTAGTAGTCAACGGAAAAAACTATCTGTGACGGATTTGAATTCGACAAGAAGATCATCAGAGACTGGAAAAGATGATTTGACCAGAAATCAGGGTACTACACTCACAGCTCCAAGGTTGTCATGGAAACCGTCGGTGGCAGAAAAAAGAGATTCAATGACCACCTCTCTGAAGGCGGTCAGTCTTTATGTAACGCCTCCAAAGACTGTCAACGATGAGGTGCCAATAAGCTCGATTTCCCTCGATAAAATAGTAACAGGTTTTGCTCTCTCAGAAACGACAGGTACATGGCAAAGAGAACAACAAGATCATGACTATAGTCAAGGAGGAGAAACCAGCTATCGGATGGCAAGCGCGAAAATTGGAGTAGCAAGTCCATTTACCCAATCAAACAAAAGGACTAGCTCGACGTCTGTATCTGAGTGTGGCTCAGAGCGGAGTTTACGATCGCAGAGTAGCGGTTTAACTCGTGTGAAAAAGGGAGTTAGTCCAGGGATTTCAGAATACCAGGTATCAAACTTGAGGACGGCACAAACTCAATCTGCTCACGAGAAGTGGATGTGGAAGGAATTCGATAAAGTAATGCAAGGTTTTGCTGATATTCTTCGCTTCGAGCACAAATCTGTGAACTTAAGGAACAAGGATGAAACAGATGTGTTAAAGGACGAGAATCCAATAAGACCATGGCCACCAGTTCAAAATGCAACTCATTCCCACAATAATCCAATGACTCCTTTGTATTTTCGTCATGGGATTTCCGATAGAATAGTTTTCCGCTTCTAAACACACGGACTGCTTGTTAAACTAATTTCACCGATGCATGCTCTCCTGGATAACTAATAGGCGCCCCTCTAACAGGCACCGACTTGAGGGAAATCATGTGTCCTAACCAATGTTGAGGGGCCCCCGCAGGGATCAGGGTCATTCCGTCCGAAAGTTCACTTAATTCCGCGACCCTGTGGGTTAGCCAGTGTTGTCCGCCCCCTCCTCTTCTCCATTTTTTGGGAGTTTATGCTACGACCACGGCAAAGAGAAAGGCAAAAAAGCAATAGGTTGAGATTGGCAAAACGACAGCTTTGCACGTGCATCACTCTTTTTTGTACATTTCTTTGCCTTGACTGCACGACCACGACATGAAACTTCCTAATCAGTTCACGTAATTTTATGACGTGAACACCACACAACAATTTTCTTTAAGTTCTTTTTGTGAACTTACTATAGATGCAGCGTAGTCCTTTAGAATTCAACTCCTGTAAAAAAATCGCTAACATTTAACAGATTAAAAGAGGCTGAATAAGGGCGATGAACTTTCAAACAGCGCGAACTCAGTTTTGGGGGACGTTTTCGCTGCAGTTGCCGTCGTCGTTTTTTCAGGGGCTTACGATCTGACAACAGCGACGTCCATGAAAACCTCGCTGAAAAATAGAAAATTAAAATTAAAATTTGGTCATTTCACGTCGTAGTCGAGCAGGGGCGGTAAAAGAAATATACAAAAAAGCGAGATGCACGTGCTGAGTTGTTGTTTTTCTTACCGAACCTATTGCTTTTTGACGTTGCCGTTGCCGTCGCCGTAATCATTGTAGGGAGCTTTAGCATCGACGACGGCAACGGCCGCGCAAACGTCAGTTTTAAAATGAATTCCCGTTTTTTCAATCTTTGTCGCGTTTATTCCAATTTGCTGAAAATGGTAAGTGTAGGCGAATTTCCCTGGCGTTGATTTCTTGAGGACCGCACTCAAGTTTAGAGAGAGAAAAAGAGTTTCGTCGTCGCTTGTTTACGTCCTCCATAAAATTTGCAATTAGGCATCACGTCGTAGTCGTGCAAGGATGGTAAAGAAATTACAAAAAAGCGTGATTGACGTGTAAAGTTGTTGTTTTGCGTAACAAACCTATTGCTTTTTTGACGTCCTGGTTGCCGTCGCCGTCTTCGTTGCTAAAGCTCCCTAGTTCGAAAGGTCCCTTCCGAGGGAGGCTAGGGGGCGGCTGTATACAGGCTACATCCCGCACATATTTTCAATCCCGAATCTCGCCCCCATTTTGTTATTTTGCCTTAAAAACCCGAGTCCCGGCCTTCAAATAATACCTTGTTACTCGTATCCCGAGTATTAAGGATGCTAAATACCATGCACTAGTACACTTAAACCAGTGATAAAATGTTGCATGTTATATATGTTTGTGCGTCTCGCGATACATAATAATCGTTTACTTTTTTTAAATACCGAAATGGCAGTTTTACATACACTTGCTAAGGCAAATCACAACGACAAACCTGTGAGGGTCCGCCGGATCTTTAGTAGACCTAGTCTGCTACACAGCCGTTTTTAGTGTCGTCACGCAACGCTCCTCCCCACTTCTGGGGAGGGGCGTTGCGTGACGACACTAAAAACGGCTGTATGTAGCAGACTATGGTAGATCTGGATCAGTAAAATCTTGAAAACCAATTTGTAAACTTAACACAGTAAACTGATCCTTACGGCAGGAAGAGTGATAGAAAAAATAAACAAAGAAAACAAAAATGAAGTGGTGAATACATACCCTTTTCCCGGGTTGGTTTTTGCTAACAAAATTGTTTAGTAGCCTGCGCGCGAGCCCCTCGCACTCGCGTCTCGTTTCGCGTGCTACTCTCGCGTGGTTTCTCGCTACTCCCCCAACTCGCAGGCCGATTTGGAAAAGGGAACGCGTCCCTGTAACTTAGCAACAAGCACATTAGTTCCATTGACTTGCGGCTTGTGAATTGATAATACACATTTGTTATCATTAAACAATAAACATAAACGTTGTCAACCAGAAATAGTTAATAATTCATTCAAGTATAAGAACCTTCTTTGTCTCTGTAATTTGAAGTCGCGTTTGGCAGTCACAAAGTTGAAAAGAATATGTTCCTTTTTTGCGTCCCCTTAATTTCAGGTGATCATCTAACAAGCTGGCCTGATGGATTGTGAAGCGATAGTTAATATGGTGTAGTATTAATGATAAGAGTTTATATTAACAGAAATATAAGACAAAAGGCTTTTCAGACCGTGGAAACTGCAACCAACACAACAGTGTGAAACATGAACATGGATGATGGACATTACGGCGTTTTGTTTTCTCCTACACGGACAGAGACCAAATCTAGGGCAAAATCAGAGCCCTCAAAAAATCAAAGAACGCGTTCGTCGTGGAATTCATCGATCCATTCGCCAGATTCCAGGCGCACGAAATCATGTCGGTCTGAGATCGACATGACGCTTATGAGCGAACAAAACAGAGAAAAACTTATCGAAGCTTTTTTGCCAGACTTACGGAAGAATCACACGAGGATGGGATACTTACATCGTGTTCGCCCGTTTAATCTGAATCAGGAGAATCTAAAGACCGTTCAAATCCGCGCAAAATCGTTATCCTACAACAGGGATCTCCGCGAGCACTCTGACATGTCGTTAGGTTGCGGACGAAAAGCTGCGAACAGTACGACTCCGCGACCGAGGTGGGCCGTGAAACCGTTACCAGTAAATTCCGCTAATGACAGACTATGTCCTGAAGAACCTCCACAAATGGTGGCGTTTGTGAAGCGACAACAGTGGAATTATAGTGACAAGAGAGCGTCGCTTGATAGAGCCCTGCCTAAGAGGTCACTTGACAAGTGAACTTATATGGATACTCGTATTTCCTACTCTTTCACCACCAGAATGAATGACGAAGTCTTGTAAGCTAAGGTGATTCTAACTTTTGAGACTGTGGACGAAGTCCTATGGTGTTACGGTCAAACGAAACCTCTCAAACATGGCACTATTTGTTTTGCACCATTTTACAAAGTGAAAGTTGGAACTTTTGCCAAAATTTGACTTTGGTCACTTTTGGAAGTGAAAAGGTTAAATTAAACTCTGGCAAAAAGAGTGTCTGTGGATGAGAGGCGTGAAATATGGCTTTATAAGTGATATCAATTGAGAAAAGTGAAAGATATGGACAACTTGACTTTAATTATGAAGATAAAGGAGAAGGAGCGAGCTTGTTTGGGAACAGCTGCTTAGAAACTGAAGAATGTTTTTATAGTCTGGAGAAGGAATCAAGCAATTAGGAGAATAAGTATCAAATCATCGTCTGAGCAGATCTATTGAAGACAACAGAAAGCCTTTCACAATTATCTAAAAATAATTGTGTTTTCCATGGAGGCCGGGACGAACATAACACTATTTTATTAAAATATCATAACTTTGAACATGTCAAAACGTGTTAGGTATTGATTATTCCTGGTGCTTATAATCAGTAAACAATGTACACTATTCATTAAAAAATGTTCTTAGTTCAAACATGATCAGTATGAATTAAGGTGAAAAATTAAAGTGATAACAAATCAAAAGACAATAGGGACTTTAAGGTCCAACGACGCGCAGCAACGAGGACGTCAAAAAACAATAGGTTTTAAAATAAGCAAAAAAACAACTACGCACGTGCATCACACTTTTTTGTACATTTTTTTCCCGTTTTTGCACGACCACGACGTGAAAATGCCTAATTTGGAGTTTTATGGAGCTTTCTTTCTGGAGCTTGAATATGGTCCCCTGAAATTCAGCTTCAGGGGGTTTCGCCTAAAATGGTCTACGATTGACAAAGTAAGTGGGTAGGAATAATCCCTGTCAAGAATGAAAGAACGCAAGTTCACTTTTTAAGCGACGTTCTTGTTGTCGTCGCGTCGTTGGATCTTAAAGTCCCCAACAGAAGAGATACACGGTTACAAGATAATGCGAACATTTCACTGTTAATCTTGTCGCCTCATACAGTAAATCGCCCATCATGCCATGCAAGGCATAACATTCTGGATTCCACGCTTTGGACACCGAATTCGCGGTTCTGGAGTCCGGATTCCTTGGAAGTGGAACCTGGGATTCCGGATTCCCGGGGCCAGTTATTAGCGGGATTCCGGATTACCTTACATTGGCGAAGTGATTGCCGGAAGAACTGGCTTGTGTGGCTTGTAAGTGAAAATTTATAAAAGGAGAGTGGTTCGAATTCAACGTGAGAAGGAACTGAAACCAGGAGCCGATTACTGCTGAAACAAATAGAATAAAACACCAATTCATTTTAAAAAATATGATAAAATACCCGCAAGTTTGTACAGTCGACTCCCGATAAATTCCAACCTTCAAGTGAAACAGATCTAGAAAAAGGTTCGAGTTATCAGGAGTTCGAGTTATCGAGGGTAAAATTATATAGAAAATGTTCGGAAGGGAGATGAAAATTGCTTCGAGTTAGCGGGAGGTTCGAGTTCAGTATAGAGGGTTCGAGTTACCGGGAGTCGACTGTAGTTCTTTTTTCCAAGCACTACTTCGAAGGGAGTAGAGCAGGAGTACAGTTAGGGTCAGGGTTAAAGTTGCAATAAAAAATGTTGGCAAGGAAAACATCGGTTTAAAGGCTTTTTTTACCTCTCAATTTTTGCGTCTAATGAATTAACTGTTTGGCTTTTTTCAGTAACTTGATGGATTCCAGGTGGATACATTAACAAAAGGTAATAGTTTTTCGAACAATTTCTTCCCCGTTTGTACTTTTCTGGCATAAAGACTGAATCTGGCGGATCCTGGATGGTGGTCAAATTTTTTAATTTTTGTTTTGATTTAGGTTCTCCTTTCTTTTTTACACAGTAACATAAGACGGGTTTTCGTGCGCGTTACATACCCTAAGAGAAGAAAAAAATCTTTCTCCCCAGTACTGCTCATATTTTTGGCTCAATTTAATTAGTACCCATGCCTTGCGCTCTTCGTACTCTTCTCAACAGCCCCATCCCCGCCACGCACCATTTGGTTACAGCTGTTTCGAATAACACGCAACCTGCGCGTCAAAACGTTTCAGGTTTTTTGTTTTTCTGCGACGTCAATCAAACCGTTACCGAAGCATCCACTGTGTTTGTGAAGAAAAGGCGGCAATAACGAGCAGAAGCTGCAAACGGTCAATGTTGACGGGAACATACCGATTCGTTTTCACCCTCCCATATCTGTGTTTCTTCTGGATCTGGAAGCTCGAACAATCTAAACTTGCCATGTTTCAGTATAAAGAAGATAAAAAACTTAGAGCTGAGGTAAAACTTTCAAACACACGCGACCGAACCGGCTTAAGCTCGAAAGCAACGAACCTAGAAACGCACAAAGCCCGGGATCGAAACCCACCAAACACAAATCACAAACTATGACCGTTTGTTTGCTGAGAGGTCCGCTTAGTGTGAAAGGGAGAAAGCGCCAATTCTTCAGATTTTTGATTGACGTCGGGGGAAAACCCTGAAAATCCAAAGACTGATGCTGGCAAGTGGAAAATCCCGACCAGTGTCCACTATGCGGTATGCACAACAGGTGCAAGCGAGTCAAAAGAACTGGCACACCAGTCTAGAGGGTCCTCGATGTGCCCTGCCAAAGGTTTGCACATCCTAGGTTACAACACACATCCGAAGTTACGACTTCATGAACATCCTTGAATAAACGTTTCATTCTCCATCTTTTGCTCTCTTGATCTGCAATCCTTGCAAACCTGGCTATCGGTTGCAGCAATGATCAAAAAACCCTCCCTGCAAAAACTGACAACTAAACCCGACAGTTTTTCTTTAAAGCATTTCACAAATCATTTCAGTTTTTCGGCTTATTGCCCGATGTAAAGAAATTGTGGAGTGTATCGAGCCAAAAAAAAAAATACATCGATCACACTTGCAACCAAAGCTGCTCCAAGGTTAGGTCGAACGACTGTTGATGGCTTAGTTGAGAGTCTCCAGGCATCTCTTTTTCCCGATTTTCCTATGGAGTTGTCCCAGGTCTCCCTTTCTGCTTCCCTTCCCTTATCACCCATTAAAAGAGAGCTATAATAACCTAAACGGTTCCAAAGGCAGTTGTTCCCCTGCTTTCGTCTCGAAATAAAAGTTACGGAGGTTACGCTTACATGCAAGAGAGCCGAAGCGTTAATAGCGGACTAAAGACACAGACGTGACTAAATACGATTGCCAGTCATATGCATGACACCTCATCCAAGCAGTTTTTAAATAATTAAAAAGCTTTACAGTCCACCGGGGTCAGGTGGCTCGTCGCGTGTGATGGCCGCGTGACTAGGCGAATCTAGGAGGTTCAGTTTTCCTTTTGCTTTTTCTCAGTTGCTTTTCATTTACTTAAGATAATTAATTTGTATTCACAAGTGGGTGACACTTCTCTGTTTCAATATAATCTTTTCGTCCTTCGCGAAGCATAACTGTGCAAACCAATCCATGCAAAGTTTCACGTCGCCCAGGGCAAAAGACCTATTCGGTTACACGCACGAGACTTTTCATACCCCGTTGGAACTAATGAAATTTTAATAGTTCTTTTTGCACTTCTTGTCGTGAAAAACACCTTACTAAAGATTCCATCTCAAATCTAAGAACTACAATTTATTGATTAGATTTCACTCTAGAATTAATGTTTACATTACTTTAATCATAATGGAAGTTTCAATACGGTCCTCAAAAGGAAAGCCGAACAGTCTTATTCAATATCTTCCGCGTATTTTCATTAACTAAGACAAATAATATCTCGTTTGAATATAGTTTAGAGCTAAATTATTAAAGTACACGAAACTGCGAGTGGGTCCACTGAATTTACGGTTAAATTTTTTTCAGTGTAGGCACTTTGCTGACTTTCTTTTCAAAGACTTCATCGCACTCTAAAGAAACTCTTTAAAAATGACCGTACTTTTATCACATTTCTTATACAGCTATACAAAATTTCAATATAAATAATTAATTTAAATAATGCTCTCATTTTTTCTTAGCGCGTAAAAGGAATTCTATCCCATGCATTTGTTCTTGAATTTCTACTTTGCTTGCCTTCTTGAAAATTCTTCGTCTCGCTAAGACACTGCTCAAGTTTCATAAACCTCGGATCTGCGAGGCAACTTTGCGATTTTTCTCTAGAAACTTTTAACATTTCGGGCAAGCTCGGTTGTTTTCGAATTGGCCTTTTCCTTGAACACGGCTGATCTCCGAGCATTCCTTCTTTACAGTTTATAGGTGGTAACTGATTTGTGTCGTCAAACTCCTTCTCTGATTGCACTTCAGGAGCTTGCGTTTTACTTGCTTTCCTTGTCCTGCCCGTTGCCTTAGTATTTGCCTCTTTTACTGGTCTGTTCTGTACCGCTATTCGCACTAGAGTTATAGCTTTTTCCCAGCGTCCTTTCGCTTTGTAATTTCCACTCACCTCCTCGGAATGACTCATACGTTTTTCATCCAGATTCGGAGCGATGATGTTCGATCTACGTCGAGAGTCTATCGGAGGTAAACTCTGCTCGGTGGATTGTGATGAATGCTTGCTCTCGTTGCTCAGCGTCCGAGGTCTTTCTTCAGAAGCGGAAACCTGCTTCGTGGCAAACTCTAACTGCCTGTAAGTCATGTACTTATCTTGTCTGAATTGGTGTTTCGATAAAGTGTCGAGTCGCGTGTTCAAAGCTCGGTCTTCGTACGCGTTCTCCTTGAGTATTGCTTGACCGACCTTATTCCTCAACCGCATTTCGCCGGTTTTGCTGATTCGAATAAGAGGATACCTCGACGAACTCACACTCATAGTGAATCTCTCTTCACCCTGAGTAAAACGAACTTAACATTGCGTGTAAAAGGCAAAATCCCTTGAACAGACGAAGCAATACACGATCAACTGAACTATCTGGATTCCAAGCCGTATTACCGTACTGAGGCGACAAATTACTCGCCTTTTGTTTTTGAATTACGAAACTTTATACTTCTTTTAGCCTGAGGCTTTTGGTTAAAAGCCTCTCAGAGCGTAGACAGGTCGGCTCTTGACCGCAATTGTCCCACCAGGCGTTGTTGAAATTTTTCACATTTCCTTCGTTGTCACAAGCACCGGACGACCTACGTTAAACATTTGAGTGATGGAAATCTCAAATAAAATGCATCCTGGGCCATTTGTTTGCACTTGACTTAAATATGAATGCATGCAATAGACAATGATTTGCATTTCTAAGGCTTCAATTAAGTTTTTCAGCAGGTCCCTGGAGAATGCTGGCTTAAAACAAAGATGTCTTAATAATTTATCTGCTTTATTCTTTCAGCGCACTGGTATTCTAAGCACAGGATCAAAGTCGAAAAGAGCCCGCAGTAGCATTAAAACTTAATTTGCTTAGTTTCAGCGTGTCTAAGCAGTGTAAACATTGAAAGCATTAAAATTTGGTCGAGTTGTCGGATTCTTTGTTGAACAAGTCAAATAAATCGTCTTGCGCTACATGTTTGTATTTGCTTTTAACTAATTAAGTGCGAAAGTTCCATTAACAGTCAATTGTCACCATTAAGTTGTTTATTTGCGACTTACTGCGTAGGTGCGGAGGCAAATGAATAGCTCCCACGGAGTTGTGGGTAATAAAGCTGCAGGTAGTAGAAACAGCGTTGAAATTAGAGGTCGGCACGATCACGACCCTTGTTTAAATAATATTAGATTTTAGTCAGTGGTAGCATTTATTGCAAAAGCAGAATAATGATAATGATAATGATAGTAATAATAGCTGGATAATGATATTAACAACAACACTAATAATAATGATGATAATAATAATAGTAATAATAATAATAATAATAATAATAATAATAAGAAGAAGAACAAGAAGAAAGACTGAGAAGAAGAAGAGGAAGAGGAAGATTAAAGAAGAAGCCGAACAACAACAACAACAACAACAACAACAAACAACAAACAACAATCAGCCGAAGACTACAACAACAACTAACTTTATTTCAAACTCCTTGTTACAATGAAAATAAAATTAAAACACAACCCGTACCCGTAAGTAGCAAAGGCTACTCGAGGTACGCACTGCAACGCTGTGGCTTATTTAGGATGTATAAGAAAGGAATTAAACCTGAGAAGAAACAAAAAGAAAGCCAAATTTTTTTTAATATCAGCCAATAAATACGATTTTAGCCCACCCACAACAAAATGCAAGAAATTCGGCCCTCCGATTTTAAGCGGTACTGATGGGTGTCCTGAGGACGTGTGAATGCGACGGAGATGTGTGTAGCAATCCAGGAAGTCGAAAAAAGGTTTTCATACTAACTTTTCCTTCAGTGTTTCCTTGTTTACTTAAAAAACAGTCAGGGTCGATAAGCTTGTTTTTCTTTAATCACATGGCATATCTTGCAAGAAGGAGCTATTTAACGGATGGATTTATCAAAATTAGTTAAGGAGTGGGAATTCACACCAGTGAAACATAAAACAGTTGCCGCTCAAAGCGTGGCCTGCGACCAGGCTCCGAAGTGGGGGAAAAAGGCAAAAAAAGGAGTGAAACAGCAAAAAAGAAATCAGTGAGCGCAGCAAGTTGAGAGGTGGACCAAACTACCCCTTGGCTCGACCCGCTTGAGGATTTTTTTTCTTTTTGCGGAGCCTGTTTCCAGGCTACTCAAAGCGTTAAGAGAAGGTAATAACAACAAAAAAATTAAACGGAGGGACCGATGTAGAAAATTGTTGAAAGTCTTGTTGTTTTTTTTATTTGCTTGACGACACGAGACTGTGATTTTTTCAGTTCCATAGCGAATATCAAGGAACTGCAATTAGCATTATGACAAAATGAGCTAACCAGCCGTGGACACAGCCCAGTCCTTCAAGGACTTTCAAGCGACTTCTTGACGGACTAGTCAAGGTGAGAGCGGATAGAGACATGCTACATACTTTTTCCACTGTCGAGTAAATGAACTGATACCCTGGATTCCAGAGGCTTTTCACTGCGCGGTTTCTGTTCGGCCTTCGGCCGAATCATGTGTCGGCCTGTGGCCGACGAAGCTCCTCTTCGCACGCGAGAAAAAACCTCTCACTGGTACCCAGAGGGTAATGAACTGAAGATAGTCCCCGGGAGATAGGGAGGGCGGCTGTTTTCTGTCCTTACTCGGTTCAAATGAAACTCCTTTCTCAACACCCGGCTATCATTCCACCAGTTTATAAAACAAAATCCGGGATATTTCCTGAACGATTTGGAAACTCTGGGTCAATAATCGACAAATCCTCAATCTTGAATAAACAATCTCGGACACGCACAGAAGCTTTTAATAATACGTACACCGAAACGTGCTTTCGTTATTGTTCTAACCATGGTTCCATGAAAGATACGTTTCAGTTACACTTAGATGCTTGGTGAAACTAGTCGAGTTAAAGGAAGCAACAATGGATAATTAAAAGTTCATTTCAAAAAGCGTCGCGTGTGCTTTCTGTTGTTGGACTTATCCGACTTATCCCAGCAGATTTTCGGGTCTATATGTTTAGCCGGAAATAGAATACACGTATGGAGATTATAAATATATCGAGAAGCCTATAATATGAACGGATCCCATGGCGGCAGTCACTGATCGAGCTGTCAGTGCAGTTCGCCTAATTTCTGTAACTATGGGGGCGAAAAACAAAAGATTATACGGGAGGCTCCACCTTTAGGTCCAACCCCAAGGTCCAACCAATTACATCTGATATGGTGACAGAAATGCCCGAGGGGTACTTGAGTTAAATTTTGCTGGGTATGTGACGCTGGCCTCTCAGAACCCCTACCCCATTATAGTCTATTCTGTGGCCCTATATAGACCCCACCTTAGTCACTTTGGGAAAAAGTAATTTTCGCAATGCCAACTTAGTCACTTTCTGCTTATGCATCTACCATATAAAGCCGTATAGGTTATCCCGAAATAAACTGCCACATTTTTGTTCAATGGTGTAAGTCTTTCTATTTTTAAATCCCTACATACCTNTCTGCTTTATTCTTTCAGCGCACTGGTATTCTAAGCACAGGATCAAAGTCGAAAAGAGCCCGCAGTAGCATTAAAACTTAATTTGCTTAGTTTCAGCGTGTCTAAGCAGTGTAAACATTGAAAGCATTAAATTTGGTCGAGTTGTCGGATTCTTTGTTGAACAAGTCAAATAAATCGTCTTGCGCTTCATGTTTGTATTTGCTTTTAACTAAGTGCGAAAGTTCCATTAACAGTCAATTGTCACCATAATAAGTTGTTTATTTGCGACTTACTGCGTAGGTGCTGAGGCAAATGAATAGCTCCCACGGAATTGTGGGTAATTTACAAAGCCGAGGAAGTAGATTAGAGGTCCGCACGACCCTTGTTCAAATAATATTAGATTGTAGTTGGCAGCATTTATTGCAAAACCAGCATAATGATAATGATAATAACAATAATAATAATGATAAAAATAATAATAACAATAATCATGATAAGAAGAAGAAGAAGAAGAAGAAGAAGAAGAAGAAGAAGAAGAAGAAGAAGAAGAAGAAGAAGAAGAAGAAGAAGAAGAAGAAGAAGAAGAAGAAGAAGAAGAAGAAGAAGATTAAAGAAGGAGCCAAACAACAACAAACAACAAACGACAACCAGCCGAAGACTACAACAACAACTACTGACAACTTTATTTTAAACGTACTCCTTGTTACAAAATAAAATTAAAACTGACAACCCGCAAGTAGCAAACTGTTATTCGAGGCACGCACTTGTAACACTGTGGCCTTCTGGATGCCGACAAGAAAGAAATTAAAACTGAGAAGAAACAAAAAGAAAGCCAATTTTTTCTATTATCAGCCAGTGAGAATACGATTTTAGCCGACCTCAACAAAATACAAGAAATTCGGCCGTCCGATTTTAAGCAGTACTGATGGGTGTCCTGAGGACGTGTGAATGCGATTAACGGAGAAGTGTGTAGCAAACCAGGAAGACGACAAAAGGTTTTCATACCAACTTTTCCCCGTTTACTTAACAAACAGTCACAGGAGCCGATTATCGGCTCCTGACAGTCATAATTCGTGACATTGTAACAAAATGAGCTAACCAGCAGTGGTCACAGCCCGCTCCTTCAAGGACTTTCACGGGACTTCTTGATGGACCAGTCAAGGTGAGAGCGGATAGAGACATGCTACATTCTTCTTCCACTGTCGAGTATATGAACTGATACCCTTGGTTCCAGAGGCTTTTCATGCGTGTTTTCCGTTCGGCCTTCGGCCGAAGACGAAGACGAAGCTCCTCGTCGCACGCGAGAAAAAACATCTCACTGGTACCCAGAGGGTATTGAACTGAAGATAGTTCCCGGGAGATAGGGAGGGCGGCTGTTTTCTGTTACTATTCAAGCGAAACTCCTTTCTCAACACTTGGCTACCATTCCACCATATTATAAAACAAAATTCGGGATATTTCTTGAACGATTTGGAAACTCTGGGTCAATGGTCGACAAATCCTCAATCTTGAATAAACAATCTCGGACACGCACAGAAACTTTTAATAACTGACACCGAAACGTGCTTCTATTGTTTTTCTTACCATGGTTCCATGAAAGATACGTTTCAGTTAAACTTAGATGCTTGGTGAAACTGGTCGCGTTAAAGGAAGCAACAATGGATAATTAAAAGTTCATTTCAAAAAGCGTCGCGTGTGCTTTCTGTTGTTGGACTTATCCCAGGGGCAGCCAACGGGAAATTTTGAGAAAAAGACCTAAAAACAACAACAAAGCGTGAATAAAGTTTTCTGAGACTATTTTAAGCATTTTGGGAGATTGCTGGAAAAAAATTATCTGTTCCTCACTCCCAG